TTCTCCTTACGCACCGGGTGAGAGCTGACCTGCCTGGCCACACACAGGTCAGGTCCTCCTCCACCAACCCCTCTCTGCTGCTGGTACCATCTGTTCACACTCACTATGGAACAAGAGAATTCTGTTGTGTCGTCCCCACAGTCTCTAAAGTCAGTTGTTTTGTTTCTTACATTATAAACATATTTTCATCCATAACACAGCAAGAGATATACTTTTTGTCATTCTGGTTCCCTGAGAGTCAATTATTAATTTGGTTGTTATGTGAGAAGTTGCCTTATGCCACACAAGAGTTCCATGACCCAGCCTCAGTTCTAGAAGTGATGTTGTTTAGTTTAGTGTTCAATGTAGTCAGTTATATGAGAAGCTCACCCTGATTTCTTTGGGAAAGTCAAAGTGGGTAGAAGGTAAACATGACCAATACCTGTGCCAAGGCAAACAATTTAAATAGACTCGGTTACCACTTGTAAACAAATGGAGGAAGAGACCCACCCGTGTGTGGTTGAAAGCAGCGCCTCACCCACACCACAATACCTATGTATAGTTGCACCTGTCTCAGTTGCACCCCATTAAGTTTTAAGTGTTTCAAATTGCACCCTTTCTAAGTCACCGATCTCAGTTTCAATCAGTGAGGGTCCGACAGCCTGGCATGGGGCAGAGGTGAGGCTCTCCATGTTACCTATTTTATTTATTGCCAGTTTAGCTCCTGACTCCCCAACATGGCTGACAGGGATGATGTAAACATTGGAGTGTTGCCTCTGTCCCACTGCCCCAAGGCTGTGCTCTCCCGCACTATTTTTTATGTATAATGTATTATTTTGTTAATGTTTATATTGAGTGGGAGTGAAGGGTTAGGAGAGAGAGAGAGAGAGAGAGAGAGAGAAGAGACCAGGTCTGAGGTAGGCTTGGTATGGGGTGCGGGAGGTCCACCACACCACACACTCACGCTGCCTTGGTACTTAACTTGACGTATATAAGAGTATTTACACTGGTTGTCACGGAAGTTCATTAGCCATTAAGTTCACTTTAATTGTAAACAGCAAGTGTATCACTTAACCCTTATTGGGAGAAAAAAATTGGTTCATTCAGTACAGTTATTCCCCAAATAGGGAGCTGTCTGTACAGGTCGTGTCCCACAGCGGATCAGGCACATCCACTTGGAGCGGTGTGCCCCGTTGTGTAAAACTTACCGTAATTTTTATTAATTGTACGGAAGACAAAATATCGCTGCTGCTGCTGCTGCCAGTTTAGCGGCTGCTGCATGTGTTTGCCCAAGTGTATGTATGTTTGAGAGTCTATTTTGTGTACCTAGCAGGTGTTAGTGACGCGTGTGCTAACAAAATGCGTCCTGCTCAACTACTGTAGGGATCCGCCCCCTACACCCCCTGCCCCCTCGCCCTCACTCTCCATCCTTGTACTTAAAATAGAAAACTTCTACACATCTTAATCAGTCCCTGTTCTCAAACCATTGTACTTAAACCTGATGCTACCATAATGCAGATACTATAGCCACTGATGGTACCATGATACAAGTACTATAGCCACTGATGGTACCATGATACAAGTACTATAGCCACTGATGGTACCATGATACAAAAACTGATGTTACCATGATACAAGTACTATAGCCACTGCTGTGATTAAACAATATTAAACTGGGATGTGAGGGCGAGACTCAGCATGGGGGTCAACTGGTCATCGTGCCTCCCTACCCTGCCACCTACTACCTCCCCACCACCACCACCAGGGGCATGACAGTACCCAGGGGCATGACTTACAGGGTCATGACAGTACCCAGGGGTGTGACAATACCCAGGGGCATAACAGTAGCCAGGGGCATGACAGTACCAGGGTGTGACTATACCCAAGGGCATGACAGTAGCCAGGGGCATGACAGTATATAGTAACACCACCACATTTATTCTGAGACCTCCAAGTGGGACTTACTGACAACCACTTATCATCTGCTGGTGATCACTCCAGTTAACGTCATCATTCTTGATAATCATTCCAGCCAAATATATCATTCCAGTCTAATAATAAGTCTTTTTAGTTATTATATTATTTTATTATCAGTTAAGTATATCATATCAGCACAGTGAGTTGTTCATTGTACTCAGTCATTGTAATATCTTTGCAACCCAACAAGTTAAGCTATTGGTACCATTCCAGGGTAGTAAATCATTATACTGTAGTGTTGTTATTGCAGTTAAGTCATCCCAGTTGAGTTGTTCCTTCCAGAGACTATACTGTATTGTATTTTCAAGGGCAATCATCCAGGAATTAAGCCATTCTTGCATTACCATTCCAGTACTGTACATTAAGAGTATTCCAGCCTAGTCATAACACATTCAAGGGTTGAAATTCCGAGCTGAATTTTTATTCCATTGTGACTGATCATTAAGGTAGTATCATCATCCCAGTCTTTAAGTAAACGGTCCAGTGTTAGTGTTGGAGGCCATTCTGGTCCGCTCTGACTGTGGTCGTAAAAAATGTCCTTCCAGTAGAACGAGACCTTGGGGTTATAATTCTGCCTAGAGGTTTTTTAGGTCAGTCTTCCAGGTTACAGTACAGTAGTTGACAGTGATGGCAAGGTTCACCAGATGACTTGTCCAGGATGAAGTGCTCGGCTATGTATTGCTTAGTACAGCATTGATCAATATAGATGTTCTATAGTATACAATAATTTCACTCAAGTTACATGTTGTGTTGAATTCAGATGACTTCTCGTTGTGCATAGTGCAATATTCTGTTGAATTTAAGTGACTTATTAGGTTGCAATGTCCTTTATTTTCTTAGATTGACATATTATGTTGCTTAGTGCAATATTTTATTTTATTTATACAGGTATCTCTTTGATGCTGTGGCTATGTGCATCTAATGTGTCAACTCTACCAACATGTGGCAAGTTTTCAACATACAGAATAACTTATTAACAGAATCCTCTGAGGTAACAGTAAAAGTGGTTGTCAGACCTTGGTGGTTCACTTACTGAGGTGCACTAGAGTTTGGAGCCAGGATATAAGGACTTGTGTGTTTTAGGACCTAAGAGTATGGATTTAGGGTTTTAGGACTTATAAGAATAATGGTTAATGACCTGGAGGACCTGGGGAAAGGGCTGATGACCAGAAGGACCTGGGAATAAGGGCAAATGACCTAATGGGCTGATGACCTGGGGGGCGGCCATGTGGTTCATCATTTGTAATCAACATTTCTGAAAGAGAATAAACTGTGCTTCCAGGAGCTGACTCTTGAGAGTTTTATTTATCCAAAAAAATAATGGTAGACACATCCAGATATAAAAAATTAGTTCCGTCATTGGTCTTCCTTCCAATTACTGCTCAAACACAGGAGTCAAGTGTGTCAGCATCATCATCATCATTGTTTTACATCCATTTTCCACTTGCACAGGTTAGCTGTAGTTACCTAATGGCAGCTCTTCATGCTGCACGGTCTCTCTCAGTCTCTCGTCAGGTTTCTAACTCGACCATCATTAATACAACCTCTCCCCATGTTATTCTTGGCTCTCCTCCCTCCACATATAGACTTGTGTATCTCTTGACCCGGTTGATCTCATCCATACTCTCTATCTGCCTAAACCATCTTGGTCTGCCTCTACTGAATTTTTTTTTCAATTTCTGTACTGTATCCTCAATACCCAGATGCCATAGTAGCTCTGACCAATGTTTCCTGTCTTTCACTGTTACATTGCACATCTGCCTCAAACTTCTCATTTCAACTCACTCCAGCCTATGTACTGTACGTCAACCTCAGTTGCATATATCTTTCCTTTCACACAATGAGAAGATGACAGCTCCCTAAGCTTCTTCCAGCCACTTGGAACTCTTGCAATTATTCAACATTACCGGTTGAAAAACAAATTCCTCTATTTTTGTATTATTACAAACAGAAGTTAGCTTTTGCTTTTAGAGAATTTATGCTTACTGCAGCAAAGTTAAGGCTTTAGATGAATTGCTCTTGAATTAGTCAGATGTTAAGATGTTTAGAGAAGTTACTGTTATAAGATTTAGAGTTTTCTGTGGCAGACATTAGTGTCGGGTTACAGAAGTAATTTAGAGTTAAGTACAGTACTGTACAATGTTCTCTACCTTCCATTTTCTGCACCAGGAACATAAGGTGAGTTAAACATGTTTAATACTTCAACAAGATTGTTTATGTATTCCTTATAAATTACTTAAAGATGATTAAACACACAATTATATCTTTCAATGGGAACTGTACCACCTCTTGTTGTGTTTTTGGAAGCCACAGCCTCAGAGAGGACACAAATAAAACCAGGTTGTTGCTGTCTGTACTGTATGTGTGTGTTATCTTCCGACCTCTTATCATTTAATTGCATCTTATTTATTGATTTACATATTTTGAATTTAATTTTATTTTTAAGACATACATACAGAGTTTCAAAGAAAAATTATACACTATACCTTATAGATTTTTAGTGTCAATGATCATACAATACTGTATTACAAGAGCAGCATTAACTAGTCAACACAATGGTACTGTTGTAATACAGGTACAGTGCTTTACTGTACAAGCATTTGTGTAATCTTTATGAAAATTTGTAAGGCAGTGTACTGTATAATTATACAGTACAGGTACATTATTCTGAGAAACCTTGAATGTTTCATTAAATAAACTACTGCCATCTTTCTTGTGGTATTCTTGGTTAAATTAACTTACTGTTTGCTATTGTTTATATACTTGTACTGTCACCTGATTCCTTAAAAGTTTGTTTTACTTTGAAATTTTTCCTTAAAATGCATAATTTTGTTTTACCGTTTAGTATCATTTCAACATTTGTCCTCAGAAAGACAACAGTTTACTTACAGAGTGTGTGTTGTCGTCTTAGCATTTGTGTAGCACTGCACTGTACAGTACTGGGCGATGCACATTTCTCCATAACTCAAAGATTTGCCTCAACATTTTTACTTTTCATTTTCTTGTTTTAAATTTCAGTTACTAGGATTTTTTTACCTTGACAGGATATACATGGCAGAGATGCTGAGGCAGAAGGTAGTGGTGTCAACCCCTCACTCTACGCCAACAAGACTTATATCAAGACAGAACCCATGATCCCACTAACCCCTGAACCCACCATGTCCTTCCCTGGTCAAGGCTCTGAACCCACCATGTCCTTCCCTGGTCATGGCTCTGAACCCACCATGTCCTTCCCTGATCATGGCTCTGAACCCACCATGTCCTTCCCTGGTCATGGCTCTGAACCCACCATGTCCTTCCCTGGTCATGGCTCTGAACCCACCATGTCTTCCCTGATCGTGGCTCTGAACCCACCATGTCCTTCCCTGGTCATGGCTCTGAACCCACCATGTCCTTCCCTGGTCATGGCTCTGAACCCACCATGTCCTTCCCTGGTCATGGCTCTGAACCCACCATGTCCTTCCCTGATCATGGCTCTGAACCCACCATGTCCTTCCCTGGTCATGGCTCAGAGAACACATATACCTCCCAGGACCAACTCAAATCTGATAATTCTGGAGTCTCTCATAGTGATACTTCATGTGTAGGAGGATCAAGTCTGGACCATATGTCTCCAGGGAGATTTCAGTGCAGTACCCTGTTCTCAAGAGCTCATCTCGATTGCATATTAGACAGCTCTAGTACTGGTTCCTTATCACCTAGCAACTCAAACATTGATCCCTCAGGTTCAGCAAGGTCTAATATCGACCCCTCAGGCTCAGGAAGTTCTTCAAAATATATCCACATAGACTCCCTGTCTTCGAGAAACCCAGAAATTGATCCCTTGCACTTCAAAAGGTTTTGTTCTGACAATTTATCTTCAAGGGACTCAAAACTTTGCTCTTTACCTTCAAGAAGCTCTCGCACTGAAGCTTTGCTCTTGAGTCCAGCCAAAAAGACTAAGAGAGGATCAGAGACAGAAGTAAGAGACCTAAGTAGTCCACTGTGCCAGGTGGACCAACAGCAGCAGGATGTTTCCATAGAGGACACTTTACCAGAAGACAATTGGCCATGTCCTACATTTTCTCCTGAGGTGTTGAGGACTCTGCCTTTCAGTGAACCTGCCTGGTTAGCTCTTGAGAACATTACAAAGCACAATCATGATATATACAAGGAACCTCAGGCAATTAAACAGTTGATTCAGAAAGTGAGTGTCATCTGCAACGCTGGCAACCAAGGAAGGAGGCTGACAAGGAAATGATCAGCTCTCAGGGCCATGTCGACCACACTTACATGGCTCAGAGTCATAAAGAAGACCCAGGAGTACAAATGTGAAACATGTAACAAAGTGTTCCCCAAGAACCGACGTCACAGGTATTTATCTCACGTTCGCATTCACACTGGCGAGAAACCTTTCAAGTGTATCATATGTGGCCGAGGTTTTAATCGGCAGGATCACGTCCAAGTGCACATGAGACTCCACACTGGTGAGAAACCCTTCCACTGTTCCATGTGTGGTGTTGCATACACCCACAAGGTGTCTCTCAAGAACCACAAATGTGAGGGTGTTAATGCTTCTCCATCACTAGGCACTACATCATCCTTGGATAAGACATTTAGTGCTTCTCCTCCAGAGTCTGCTGACACTTCAACTTCTCCTCCAGAGTCTGCTGACACTTCAACTTCTCCTCCAGAGTCTGCTGACACTTCAACTTCTCCTCCAGAGTCTGCTGACACTTCAACTTCTCCTCCAGAGTCTGCTGACACTTCAACTATGCCAAAGTCTGCTGACACTTCAATTTCTCAAAGTCTGCTGACACTTCTTCTCCAAAGTCTGCTGACACTTCAACTTCCAAGTCTGCTGACACTTCAACTTCTCCAAAGTCTGCTGACACTTCAACTTCTCCAAAGTCTGCTGACACTTCAACTTCTCCAAAGTCTGCTGACACTTCAACTTCTCCAAAGTCTGCTGACACTTCAACTTCTCCAAAGTCTGCTGACACTTCAACTTCTCCAAAGTCTGCTGACACTTCAATTTCTCCAAAGTTTGCTGACACTGCTGAAATCTCAGGGCCTCAAAATATTAAGGAAAACACTTCTACTCTTACTGAAAATTTTTGCTCAAAAGAGAGTGTAGGAAATGGTGGAGCAATAAGTGAAGATCATTGTGACCCTCGTGTTAAACCATCTCCACACCCTCCCCCAACCAATCAAACTGGTCCAACCAGTCAACCTGCTCCAACCAATCAACCTGTTCCAACCAGTCAACCTGCTCCAACCAGTCAAGCTGCTCCAATCAATCAAGCTGTACCAACCAATCAAGCTGCTCCAACCAATCAAGCTGTTCCAACCAGTCAAGCTGCTCCAACCAGTCAACCTGCTCCAACCACTTGCCTTGTCATAAATACTAAACTTACCCTAGATACTCAATGTGTCCATTATGCTAACAGTCTACCTTCTCCAGGTACTATTACACTATCTGTTGATGCTAAGTCTGAGTCACATTCATTATGTGATCAGTTTTCTCCCAGGACTTACACTAAACACAGTGAACATCAGCCTGTCCCCAACACACCACTTAATTTTCTTCCAGTACTCGGCACTCATCTGTCCTCACATGAACATTTTTCCCTGAGGCCTCAATTTCTGTCATTCACAACAGAAGCTCGAACCTCCAGTAATTTAGATATACAGGTGACGCACCACACAACTTGGCCTTGTGGGTGACTTGAGTAATGATGTTGATATGAAGGATGTCACAATGGCAGGTCCGCCAGTCACCAGCATCAGTAACAGGGATACTGGTACAGGTATTCCTAAAAGTTACCTGAAGGAGGTTCTAGATGAGAGAATAGGAAAGATTATCCAACAGGATCCTTGGAGGGGAAGTGCAGATGCTCTGAAGGACGACATTAAATGTAGCGGGACCCAGGATGCTTCACAAAAAACCTCAGTAATTCTAAAGGATGATGTTGACAGGAGTGTCACCCATGATCCTATGCAGAAGGCCCCAGAAACTGTGAAAGAAGGTATCAGAAGATGTACTGAGTCCTCTCAAACAAGTTCAGCATTGTTAATTAAGCCCTTAAAGAAAATTCTGTTGGAGGCCACCCATTGTGGACGGGCTGCAGCGGAAGTGAGCAGCCAGGAATTATGTCCGACCTGGTGGGGTCGACCACAGGTCATGCCCATAAGACTAAAACCCAACAAGTTTCCTGCAGATTAAATTGTAAAAGAAAAAAATGAAATATGTGTTGCTTGTTCTCCTCAACCTTAAAACTGGACAATGAAGATCATAACAAAGTTGCAAAAAACAGATTGACCGTCTGAATGGCTAGCAAACTTAAGTGGTAGATACTGTACCTGCAAACCTATGATATACCCACATAAATACTCCATACTGTATGCACTGCATTACAGTAGTAATCATCTTCACTACATTAGTAACATTATAGGGACCTCTGGCCTGGTGCTGGAGGTCCTTTATGTATCGTGTAACCTGTAGCTGCTGAAGTTGATGCCAGGACACAATGTTGTCATGTCAGCACTTATGATATGATGTTAAACAGGTTATTTGGCCAAATTTCAGTTAAGTTAACCAATCTTCTAAATTACAGTTGAACTAAAAGTTAAATTTATTATCTTGACTGCTTACTTTACAAAAATGTAAGTTTATGAACCTAATTGACCTAACCTTGCTGTATAGCTGTCACACCAGTGTCCATCAAGATTAATAACATAAAGTTAGGTTTGGGAGTTGAAATTCTTTAGGCTGGAGAACAACTCAGTTTATAGCTGGTCTATGGGGTTGAAATTTTGGGGGCAGAATACATCTTTGCTTTTAATTTGATATTGTATGGGAAATTGGCTCCCGTTTGTTGAGAATCAAATTTTGCTGCTTGTTACTCACTCTACAGTACTTGACACATTGACAGGAAGAAAATACAACAATTACAGGGGGTCCCCGGGTTACGAATGGGTTCCGTTTTTGAGGACGTTCTTAAGTCAGATTTGTTCGTAAGTCAGAACACATGCTATGTGCAAACCGTACTACAGAACAATGTTTAAAATCTCAATATATCATAGCCTAGGTCCTTATATACATCTAAAATCACTCAATTTAAGACAAAAGAAATTGAATGACAAAATACAGTAAATGAAAATAAAAAATAAGTCATCAGGTAAATAATATACTGTGAATTTCAAGTTTAACCCCGTTCACATTGGCGGGCGTTTGGAAGTCGGACATTTGTAAATGAAGGACCCAGGCCTTTCTCTCGCGTCCACGCTACCTCAGGTAGCGTGGCCTGAAAACTCATGGTACATGTAATTATAGTATCAAGCATTAGGAAAAGAACAACGGTGAATACTATAGGTGAATAATAGACCCAACATACAAATACATTGTTTATTAAAACACAAAAATGGTTATAGAAAAGACGTTATATGCACCAAAATAGGAACTCCTGGTACCATGCCCTCAGGCTCAATTTACTTACACCACAACTGGATGTACACAAACAACAACACACATAAACTCTCACAGCACCTTAGCACCATTAAAACCAGTGTCACTTGCCAGTACAACACTCAATACCCCAGGGCCAATACTCAAGCGGCCGCCATGGGAGTCTCATCACCACGTGGCACCTTCTAACAAACTCCGAGGATTCCGATGGAATAACATAACCACACAAATAGCCCTACTGAGCTATGGACTCGTCCACCAATGATGGGGGCTGGTAGTTGTGGGGCTTGATGATCTGGGGTCTACGTGGGCAAAGCATTAGGGGAAGATTGGCCAGCTATGGGGCCCATAGGTGGTAGTGGAGCTTCTGACGGTCGGGATTCAGACATCGCCCCAGACTAGTGGATGCGTCATCCACGCTACAGACACGGCCTAGGCTGCGATAGGGACCTGTGTGAGTGAGGAAGGCTCACTGACTGTTGATAACGAACAACAACGTTTCAAAGGGACGTTAAGGACGTAAAAATACTTCACTCAAAGCACACCAACTACGTTACTGTAACACTTGCACAATCAAACTACCAAAGAACTGAGGTTATGAAGTAACCATTGAACTGAAGTAAGTAGAAAGAACAATTGAAGGAACTAAGACAAGAGAAGTATAAGTAAGACAAGGAGGGGAGCTTGTGTTGCTTGAGTTAAGAAAGAAACCCCCGGGTGGAGGGTGAACTGCTGCCCCCTGGCTCTGTGTCGGCACACTTGCTTCCACTACCCTCCCCCTGAATATAACCTATGTACACCTGTCCCCGTTCCTCCTTGACTCCTCCTCTTCCGTTTCAAGTCCTGCAGGAGCTTCTTATGCTGTTCCCTCTGCATTACCGTGTGTGTGTGGTGATTAATGGCACGAAATCATCATCAGTACCTGTCCTAGCGGGGGACCACAGGGCAGTGTATTGGGCCCGCTGTTGTTTGTTTGTTTCATAAATGACATGCCTGACGTTGTACACTCCTCCATACAAATGTTTGCGATGACGCCAAGTTATTTCGGGAAGAACCAAGAAGGACTGTGAAGAGCTGCAGAAGGATTTCTGTGAGCTCAGGAATGGTCGAAGAAATGGCTGTTGAGATTCAATGTCACGAAGTGTAGAGGATGCACCTGGGGCATACCAGCGGTAAGTATCATATGTCCCAACGAGATGAAGAAACTGCACTAGTTGAGACTGAATGTGAGAAGGACCTAGGTGTGTATGTTGACAATGAGCTGAAGTTCTCGGGCCATTGTGAGAAGAAGGTAAATCAGGCAAATAAATTTTGGGTCTTATAAGAAGGTCGTTCAGATATCTAGATGGTCCGTCCCTGCATGCGATCTTCAAGAGTGAAGTGCTTCCCATCTGGAGTACTGTCATTACTCCTTTTCTGTTACTTTATACAGTACTGTACCAGTGTACTGTACTGCGTGTCCTCGTTGATTATGAGAAATGTTTTTAAATTATATAATGTCAATTAAACTGCTTGAAAACTCTTATAGTTAAAATTTGTATTATTCCTTATTTTGGAGTTTTAATTGAAAATATTTATATCTTATTCAAATAATAGTGTATACAAAGGTAAAGAACATCCCAGTTTGGATTATAGACTTTTACAACAAGCAGAGTGTCATAATTAATGGCATGAAATCAATGTCAAAAGAATTTATCGGTCAAGAGGTCCAAATCAGCTGCAAGTGGATGCCCATCCCACAAGAGGATATAGACTCAAGTTAAAGAGTAAGAGCTGTGAGCTCTTGCCAAAATTTTCAGAGTGGTGTAATGGCAATGACTGTGAGCTCATTTAACTCCTACATTGTGACATACATTCTCGAATGATTAGCAGAGGAGTGCGATATACATTCTGGAATTCACAGCATTTTGAATGCAGCATTCAAAATGTTTTATTTATCTCCTGGAGGCAAGGACATATGGAATGCTTTCACCCACGCCTTCCAAAAAAGCAATCACGATAGAGGCAAGATGTGCGCCCTCATCCAGTAATGATGTCACTGAACCTACCACTTCCACTGGCTGTGGTGCAAGGCCAAAGACAAGAGGAAGGAAGAAACTGCCTGTGAAAGGGAAATTACTATACTCGTGGAGTATCACAGAAGTAGTAGCGAAAGTGAGGAATCTGTGGATGACCCACGGCCCAGGGTTTTTTTTTTCATTTATTGGGCACCCCCCTACATCCTTGTGCAAGGTGAAGCGCAGAAGCGTTTACAGCGCCCAACAGGGAAGCATGATAAGTTCATGCTTGCCTTATGTCTCATGAGTTAAGGGTAGAAGCCTGAAGAGTGAGGCGTAAGAGCCTGAAGAGTCGAGGGCATAGAAGCCTGAAGAGTCAATGGTTTATGCCTGAGCAAGTTATTGGAAGTTCCAACAACTTGTCCCTGAATGCGAATTCGCAACTTTCGACTTACAGCAGGTATCTACTTTGCTGCTAGGTGAACAGGGACCAAGGGGACTAGGAAGAGTGTCCAAACAACTTCCGCCGGCCCGGGAATCGAACCTGTGACATCTTGCTTGCGAGGCAAGAGCGGTACCACTCTACCTCCAGCTCCCCCCACAGCCCAGGTAGCATTGTGAGGTTGGCTACAGGTCAACCACCAAACTCATGGCGCAGCCTTCCACTGGCCCCCAAACCCACTGAATTCACCTGAGCC